AAGATGACCGCCTCTCACTTCTTGAGATATATAAGCTGGGTTCAAAAGCCGGGGAAACGTTTTTTTGGAGCTGCTCTCCTCTTCGAAGGTAATCGGTTTCTTCTTCTGTTTTATTCTTTGCTTCTACGGATATTGGCGGATTTTATCAATCCCTTATCACGATAAAGGTTAATATTCCTTACTGTTGCGTATTCACAAAACAAATCGACTTCCTCACAAACGTTTTCGCACTAAGCGCTTCATTTGGATAGATTTGATTGGAGTTTGATTATCCAACCACTGAGCTCGGCAAATAAATTATCCGGCAGTCTTTACTATTTCACGACACTTACGATACAGAATCGCTGCATTATATTTTCGTTCCATTGTTATGTGGTTATCACTTTTGTATTCTATATTTTTATCCTTATCTCTATTATTACTGAGTGGCGGCGATATTTGTTAGACAAATTGAAACAACAATAATGCTGAGAATGACGAAGAATTTCTTGCAGTTGGAAAATTTGTGATTGTGAACTGAAACAAAAATCATTCATATTATCATTTTCTTGTTTCAACTTTCCCATCGACTTTTCCAGTATGAGTTTATTTTAAATTTAAGACAGTAGCCTTCAATGGTGATGCAGTACAAATGGTCTTTATTGGTTATCGGCGAAGAAATCAAACTAAACAATCTCCTCAAGCTCCCCAAGCATTTCCTAACTCAGATTTACTTGGGACTCTTTTATTGGGTTCATTGCTAGGGTCAGCGTATGGCAGAGGATTCCCATATTATCCTTCGATGATGCTCATCAGTTCAAAATGCCTTTCTCTTCAATTAAAATTGATTTAATGAATGGTTCAATCAATAAAATTTATGACTTAAAACTGAAACGAAAATCATTTATATCATTTTCTTCTTTGTAACTAATTAAATAAGCGATCGAAAAATTAACCTTCTTAATTCGAACAAACAACAAACAATCATCAACATTTTGTTTTCTCCGATAATAATTTGGTCTGTTCATTGTTTGAGGTTCTGATATGATTATTCAGTTCATTGCGGTTTGGAATGATACTGTTACAATACTGCTTTCAGTTAGAACAAGCAAATGATGAAATATTTGATAGTAATGTTGTAAAAAAGGATCACAATGAATAGCTAACTTCTCATTTGTTTTTTCATTCAGACATTTGATAGAGAAATATTTTCATTTTTTTTTAAATTACTATTTGGTTAAAAAAATTTTTATTTAAATTTTCCTGAATCGAAATTTCAAAAAATTTTATTACTTTAGAAAATTTTATTACCTTAGTATTTGATAATGAAATTAGAAGATGGCATACGGAGTACAGTTAATTTAAACGAACAGTCAATAGTCGAGTTGAGCGAGACGAAGATGGCCCTGATTTGATCTTCAAACAAGATTTTCTTTAAGAATGCATTGAATCTCCTTCTTGGCGCCTTTATATTGCCCATAAGTGGGTTGGGCTTACGACAAGGGAATAACTTCAAATAAGGTCTTCACAAAGCTGATAATAATTTCCTGGTGCAAGAGAAAATTGTATAAAAGACTAGATTTCTTCTTTATATGAAGAGGAAATTGCTGGCAATCATCTTACTAGACGTACAGCTTTCTCATAGTTTGTATGGAAATTAGCTAGCGGATGTGGGTAATTTCAATATCAAAGGAAAGGACATTTTTACACGATTGAGTTTAGATAACAGACTCATTACTTTAGATATAGAAAATACATTATATATATTTTTTGTATAATGTGATGAATCTTTTATCACGGAAAAGTTTTTTACAACAAATTCTTTAGCTGTTTGGCCGTATTGCAATTTCCTTCGGTTTTTTCCGACAAGTGTAATTCATAATCCTCAGCTGAACTTACTTAAGAAGAAAAAACTTACTTTACGTCTCACTTAGAAAGAGATAATAGAAAATATTGTCATTACTACTTCTTCCTGTATTACAACTCAAGTAAGGTTGATTCTCTGAAATATTAGGAATACCGTTATTTATCTAGCTAATTAACAAATCTTTTCATCAAATAGGTAAAGCATAAAAGCATAATGCTCTGTACAACAGCAACATTACCAATAGAATCGTTACGCCAAAACCTGTAGAAATATGTGAAAATCCCGAAACAACCTATTCAGTCAGCTAAAGCATTTCCCGTTTTCCTTAACTCTTGATCTTTGCTCTTTCCTTTGAGAGTATGCTTTTCCTGATCAAACTCACTAACTAAAAATGTAATGATGACAGTAGGAAAAATGGTTAATGATAGGAAGAAAGGTAAGATAAACGATATGGAATAACAATGGTGAAGAGATATTACTTCAAATGACAATAATGATCTGTCGCTTAATATTTCACTTCTCATGTAATGTATAGCTTGTTACGATGACATTACTCCAAGATATTTCATTAATTTCCTTAGATGCATCAATATTTGCATATTTGTGGCGCACGTAAATTCATTACATGTAGCGCGCTTTTTTGAATCACAAATTGGAATCCTCTCGAGTTTTACTTAATTTCCTTGGTGTTGTGAAAGTTTGATTATCTGAGTTGAATAGTTTCAGCAATAATATATTTGATATTTATTTGTT